GATTCTTATAAATTCAGCAAGTAATTTCCTATTATATAATTATATCATAACAAGAAATACATGTAATATATGAAGTTATCAAAGTTTTAACACTTTGCTCAACATGTTACAAAGTGTTTTGATAGTTAGAAGCTGTTAATTAATTCTTAGTCTTTCAGCACCGTTTAAGAAAAATCATAGAAAAATCATACGAAGTCGAAAACTAGATCCGTAAATTCTGAGAGTTCACAAAATGTGTCTAGTTTACTCATAATTTTTATCAACATTTTTAATGATCTCAAATTTGGGTGAAAAAGTCCATAATCAGTCCGGATTGGTGTTTGAAATGATAGGCAGTTTTGTAAAATTCACCATAAATTGTAGAAAAATCGTATGGAGATGTGCAAGTAGTCATTTTAAAGCTAAGAACTTGAACTATTTGAAACTTGTACAGGTTTGAAAAATAAAATGTTTAAGTTGTCCAAAACAGTCCGTGAATGGAGTTGAACTTTTCTGATGAAGGCTGTTAGAAAATTTTAGTTATGTTCTTGGTGTTTTAACTTGTATTCCCCCCCTGAAAACTTGAGAAAACATGAAAATGTAGGGGTATGAACTCACCTTGAGTGATTTCAGTAGATAAGTGTTGAAGAAGAGAAGTGTTCAACCCAAGAACACTTGAAGAATCACTTGAAGATTCGAAGCTCTAACGCTAATATGATGGAGTTTGTGTAAGATATTCATGATTTGAGTAGAATGAAGTGAAATAATCATAAGGAGGATGAATTATACTTACTAAGAGTGGAAGAACACTTGAAAATCAGCCTTGAATCTCGAAATTGGAGTGGGAAAAGTTTGAGAGAAAAGTGGTGTTTGATACTTAGTGAAATGAGGGCAAATGAGAGAAATGAGGAGAGAGGATGTTTGTTCCAGCTCTAAAAACATGGGAATGAGTGTAAATTGAGTGTAAGGGACATTGAAGTGACCTAAGTAAGGTGGGGAGGTGTGGTTAGTCAAAGAGTGGGTGTGGGGTGGTTGCTTGTGACATTGGATAAGGCAAAGTCAACACTCCACCTTTAATAATTCACCCATTTGATTTTTATTATTTAGATAATGATTTTCATCAAAATATGTTTAAATTATGAATATTTAGAGTTTATTATGTTAAAATATAATTTCTAGAGAAAATCCCGCTTTAAAATCACGAAAAACGGGCTTAAAATGTTAAAAATATCAAAAATGGGCTAAAAATGACAAAATCCCGGAATTTGGCCGAGGTTCGGTCTTCTGATGCTGAACCGAGAGAGAGGGAGGCAGAAACCGAGAGGGAAGAAGAGGGAGAGTCGAGACCGAGAGGTGGGAGAAGAAACCGAGAGAAGAGAAGAGAGGAAGCAGAGACCGAGAGTAGGCGAGGAGACATAGAGGGAAGCAAGGGAACCGAGAGGCGGAGCAGGGAACCGAGAGGGGAGACCCAGAGCAGAGGCTCGGTCCTCGCGTGCCACAGCCAACAGAGGCTCGGTCCTCACGTGCCACAGCCAACAGAGGCTCGGTCCTCGTCCTAAGAGGCCTCTCTTCTTGGTTTCGGTTCCTAAAGCCTATTTTTATCGTTTTCGCCCCGTTTTGAGCCGTTTTTGACCCGGTTAAGGGTCGGAATGACCCGAATGATCCCAAAAAGTTACGGGAACTTTTGAGAGAGATTTGGGAGAGATTTTTCACACTTGGAGAGATTTGGGAGAGATTTGACATTCTTGGAGAGATTTCTCATACAAAGAGATATTTGCGAGAGTTTTCACATACTTGGAGAGATTTGGGAGAGATTTGACATTCTTGGAGAGATTTCTCATACAGAAAGATATTTGAGAGAGATTTTCACATACTTGGAGAGATTTGGGAAAGATTTGACATTCTTGGAGAGATTTCTCATACAGAGAGATATTTGAGAGAGATTTCACATACTTAGAGGGATTTGGGAGAGATTTGACATTCTTGGAGAGATTTCTAATACAGAGAGTTATTGGAGAGAGATTTCACATACTTAGAGGGATTTGGGAGAGATTTGACATTCTTGGAGAGATTTCTAATACAGAGAGTTATTGGAGAGAGATTTCACATACTTAGAGGGATTTGGGAGAGATTTGACATAGAGAGAGATAGAGTGAAAACGATTGAGAGAGGTTCCATGTGGGATAGTTGTGAGTGTCCGACATCGCAATGCATGGTTCGTAAACCCTGTTAAGCCTTGTTTAAGGATCTTACATACTCCCGATGAGTATGCATCATTGTTTTATCGGTTTGGCTTGCCACTTACCGCAGTTTTTAGGTTAAAGAGATCTAGTTGTACGTACTTTTCGATTTATGATTTCTTATCAGAATAACGAGTTGTTTAGTAAATACTGAACGTAAGTCCTAGTACACAAGGGTTAGTTGAGCTGACTTGTTGACTTTATTTGACTTTGAATTGACCAGAATTTGACGATTGTCACAATGGCCTGACGTAGTATGTAGTATATGATATTACGATGATGTGTGTTATGCTAGTTGATATCTGTTTATGCTATGCTATGATCAGTTAGTTCCGGACTTCGGTCCGATGCAGTCAGTTCCGGACTTCGGTCCGATGCAGCTAGTTCCAGATATCGGTCCGATGCAGGGGACAAGGTCCCAGTCAGTTCCGGACTACGGTCCGATGCAGTTTTCGGGCTTCGATCCGATGCAGTGGGCAAGGCTCAGTACGTGTTTATATGTTATTATATGATATGTGGTAGTTTGGGGGAGCTCACTAAGCTTCGTGCTTACAGTTTCACTTTCGGTTTCAGGTACTTCCGCATGTAAGGGGAAGAGCTCGGGATGATGGCATCACACACACCACAGCTTCAGTCTTTATCTTGGGAGTTTGTTTTGATTCGTAGTTTGATTTGATACAGTTGTTTCACGACATTTTATTATGAGTTGAGATATTTGACGTATGGTTTTTATTATATGACAATCAGTATATGAGTTTTATTACTATTTAAACAAAAAATTTTGGGTCGTATTTTGGGATGTTACATACACACATTTATATACACACACAATAACATCCTACTTATAACAAACACATATAATTTCATATATATAGATAATAACATCATACTTCTTTAAATTCTCATATACTACATATATATCAAAGACACATACATTGGCATATATACACCAAATTCACATAGATTCATACAAATATCAAATATACATACATATGATAATTTTCACATAATTGATACAACTACGCATAACTTGCAATTAAACTCAAATTTTACAATAAATTGAAATAATAGAATCTGTAGTGGCAGAAATCAACGAATATGTCGCCGGAAAAATTTGTCTTCACCGGAAAATACCCTCACCCGTAAACCCAAAGAAAACACTACAAAAAACACTGAAATTGAAAAATAATTTGCAATTAATCATCAAATGCAGCTAGAAATCAAAGTTAACATACAAAGACAAAGATATATAAGAACTTCAATTTACCTTTCTTCCCGAGATAGAGGTAGAAATTGAGACTTAACCCGTTTAATTGAAGCCCTAAACACCCTTGATCCCTAATCTCACAATGTGGGGAGATATCTTGTTGGAATCAAGGAATCGATAACAGCAAAATGGGCCACCGATTGGAGCTGCGCAACGTTTTGATGGAAATAGGAAGCAAAACAGATGGAAAACAGGAAGCAAAAGAGCAGAATGTGTCCGTTTTTGTTTTTTATCTGCGATAACCTTTAGCGGCGACACTTTTAGCAGCAACAATATAGACTTTACCGGCGACATGAATCAACAACGACGATTATCTGGAGGGAAGGGTACCGCGTCTTTTTTAGACCACTATTACCGTCGACAATTTTAGACTTTTAGTGGCGACACGAATATCGCCGGTACTAGGTTTGTGCGGATAAGAGACCCCAACCGTTGGATTAGATACTCGATTGAACGGCTGAGAGAGGGTAAAAACGCGGATTTGAGTGAGAAGCCATTAGCGGCGACACAAGTACTTGCGACAAGAGCTTTTAGCGGCAACTTTACCATTTGTCGCCGCTAAAAGCCTTTGTCGCCGGTAATTGTGTCGCCGCTAAAGGCATAGTTTCTTGTAGTGATATTATATATACGCAAAGATTTTATCATTCGGTGAGAAGTCGTTGAACCATGCAAGGGGTTAACAATGTGATTTTTTTATATATTTATTATTATCAATACAAAAACCAGCAAACAAGCTATAAGTAATTTTTCCATGAAATGAAAGATTTGAAAAATCTTGGATGAAATATCAACTTGACGACTTCTTTATAAATAACGGGTTATTATGTTTTGAATAGGACCTTCTCGAAGATAAACATTAAAGTGCCTCAAATAAAATTTGAACCCCAAACGAGACAATATTAAACAATTAGTTAGAACTAACCAATATGAACTTGATTAATATATGTTTGTATTAGTTACATAATAAATCTAAAATATATTTTATATGAATATTTTACGGATCTTTGAAATGTTTGGTTTTTTTGTTTTCATATTTGGTTATAAGTAGGGAATGTCTTAGAGCAGTTATGAAATCAAAGTGATATGATAAGATTAAAAGTCCTTGTAATTAATTCGGTAACAAGAAACCAAAAACTTTCCTTTTTTGAGTATAAGATACACTCACAGGCGAGATCTAGTAATTAACAAATTTAGAAAAAAATCTAATGATCTCCGATAAATATGGGATATAGTGATATACTATTGGCTCTTCATATTCTAATTTAAAACGTTCCTATGCTTACGTATCAACAGCTTTGCAGATATTTAATCATAAGTATCTAAAAAACCAAATATTTTCCTTAAATAATAACCTTCCTATTTGCATTACAACGTTTGTTCAACTCAAAACTAACACTTCCGCGTGTATTAATATAGCCACGCAAGGACTAATCATTCATATTCGGCTTCACATTCTTCTTCTTTTAGAGATTTCATTGAAAGTCTTAATTTCTTTTTCGAAAGCAGTGGAAATCATGGCACAGGATGCAACAGGAAGTAACAAGCGTGTCCATTCTGCTTTATTGGGATATGAGGATGATGATACTGATGAATACTATCTAAATGCCGGGGAGGATGAGGATGAAGAAGAGGATGAGGCTCAAAGAGAATATTATCGAAAGAAGATCATGGAATTGTATGAGGAAAAGACGAAGATGTTTGCTCGCGAAGATGCCTTAGCCGAGCAAATTAAGTGTGAAGAAAGCAAAAAGTTGTGCAAATGTCCCACGAATAATAATGCGATGCAGCAACCTAAACCTACTACACAGATTGTGAGCAACCAGGTAACCCAGCAGTTGAAACAGTTCATCACGAATAATAAGATGAACGCAGTTGAAAGAAAAAAGCGGAAAAGTACTCCAACAGTAGAGAAGAACAAAAAGGTGGAGATTGTGAAGAACCAGATAACCCAGGAGTTGGAAGAGTTCATTACGAATAAGCTGAAGGGGACAGAAGCGAAGGCGGTGATCCAGAAAACCTTGTTCTCAAGTGATCTGAGAAAAAACCAGAACAGGTTGAGTATGCCGATGAAACAACTGAAACCCGATGAGTTCTTGAGGAAAAATGAGAAAGAAGATTTGGAGAATGGAATGGAATTGAAGGTGGGATTGTTGGGGCCAAGATTAGAGATGCATGAGAATCCGATGATGTTGAAGATGTGGCATATGAAGAAGACCAAAAACTACGTCCTCAAAACCAACTGGAACGAGTTTGTGATGGCGAATGAAAAGGATTTCAAGAATAAGGAGAACACAGAGATTCAGGTTTGGTCGTTTCGCAAAGATGAGGACTTATGCTTTGCAATTACGTTTTTGGAGAAAGATGTTGAAGGTCAAAACGACGCCACTTAATCACATACCATTAGATCAGTTCTCTAATCTTTTTCATTTAACTCTTTATTCTTGTTTATATTCAAATTTTGCTGCATTACATAGTGTTCCTGACGATTATTAAAGTTTTGACAATTTCTTATTTTGGTTTCAAGCTATTCAACGATCAAAATTTACTAATATATGCAGTTTTAAATTGATGTTAATTTGTTTATTAAATACTAATTGATAATAAGTTCAATATGTTTAATAATTAATTTGATAAAATTGATGATGATAAGTTTTGTCAAATAATAGTTAGAAAAATAATATACTTTGATGCATTAAGACTTCAAAGAATGGCTATCAGTCACGAGCGGATCTAAATTTTTTGTTTGTTGGGAGCACTAGTGATAATATATACATGGTTGGTTCGGATCTAAATATCGGGTCATGTGTAATCATGTTTAAATTATGTTGATATGTTGATATAGTTAAATTATGTTGGTTCGGATCTAAATTTGGTGTGGTTATTTTTTGTAGTTTTTTGTATTATTTTGATACAAAATTTTAACATTTGTAGAAAGGTAAATACCACAAAAGTTATTAAGTTTGTACGGAAATTCCATTTTGACAATGAATTATTTTTTGTCTCAAAATGAACATTGTGTTTACAATATGTACAATTATAAACACTTGACTGTTCAACCCGGTTGTCCAATAACGTAACATAATGATATGATATGCTGACGAATCAAAATTGAAAAAAATATATATCACAAAAGACATTAAATTTATACTTTTTTTAAATTTGACACTAAGTTTTCATTTGTTTTTCAATTTTGACACCTAATATTTTTTTTTTCCAAATTGATCATCATTTTTACCAATTTTGTTCAGTTTGATGACGTAACATTATTTTTTTTATTCCAAATCAGACATCATTTATTTGCTTCATTTGAAATAGTATAAATATTTTTTTTATATTTGTAATCGTATAAATATATTTTGTTCATTTAAAAACCATATTTTTATATAAATACAATGTTTTTTTTTATTAAAACCATAATCTAATGTATAAATATATATTAATTATTTTATAACTCTATTTTAAAACATAATATATTAATTTCTTGATTTGTTGGAAAAATTATAACAGTTTAAAATTTGAAGATTAGTATTTTAGAACTATTAAAAAAGTAAAATTCAACTTGAGGAAAAATTAAATTTGGGGTAAATTGGTCGTGAAAATAAAAATGACTTTTATTCGTCATTTAATTAAGTTCTTGGCCATATTCTTTATGTAGTTACTAACCAAAACTAAATAAACTTATAATGAATATAATGGAAATCAAGAACTATTTATAAAAAAATAAACGAAATATGTATTTTGGAAACGTGGAAATTTCATATCAGTGCATAATGAACTTCTTGGTTAAAATATCTAATTGAGACGATAGAAAAGATAATCCAATTAAGATTTATCAACTTTATAATAACAAACTAAATATGTTTTAATTATATTATAACCGTATTTTTCATTTATAATTGGGAGTTGATCCATACACAATAGTTTTTCTCCATACATAACAATTGATGCTTTAAAATATTGTATTGTACAACTGTATAATGCATGAATGGTTGTGTATGGAAAAGAAACGGTTGTGTACGAATCACTTCGCTTCATAATTACAACGCTATAAAGTTTTTCCAACAAATCAAGAAGTATATCTACAAGAACCAAAAATCATGAATATATATAACGATAGTCCCTTGGTAATTACAGCGACCATCATGTTTCCGAGAACTCATTAGTTTGTCTGATTATGCATTTACATCTCTAAACTCATTTTAAAGTTATGTATTTAATGAAAAATATGGTTATAATATAACTAATATATATTTATAAATAACATTATGGTTTGAATGAAAAAACATTGTATTTATACAAAAAATGTGGGTTTTAAAAAAATATTAATACGGTTTCAAAAGTAATATATATATATATATATATATATATATTCAAATGAAATATAAAATAATGTTCGATTTGAAGCAAAAAAATTGGAGTGTCAACATTGAAGAAAAAAAATTAAAACTTAATGGCCTAGTAACAATCCACAACAACATCATCGACCTCAGTAGGCTTGACCGTATCCTACTCCAGCGGCCTAACAACCTTTTTCTTCTCCACCACCCTAACAATAACATGTCATTTTTCTTGGACATTGCAATCTTTTGCTCTATGACTCTTCAATACCCGGGAAATGCTGATTGGTAGATGGACACCAGGTCAACTTCATATCTTTATGCTGACTCATGTATCCTCAAGTCTTTTAGCAATAAGTGCAATAATTTTTCAGTATTAGTCGATAATGGATCTCATATTCAAGTTACACACACGAATACAATCATTCTTAGCCAAAATCCATATCACACTTTATCTTTAAAAAAGGTTCTCATTACACCTCATATTATTTTGAATATCATTTATATGTGTCAATTTACCCGTGATAATAATTGCATTATTGTATTTGAAGAATTTGGATATTATGTGAAGGATTACCAAACTTGTAAAATCCTCCTTCGATGTGATAATATTGTTGATTTATCCCGTCATAGCCCCCTCTCCTCAAGTAATCATCTCTGTCAGCTTTTCAATTTGGCATCAAAGACTTAGTCACCCCACTCAACAACTCTTCAAACATTTAGTTACCAAAAACTTTATTTCATGTAATAAAAAAAGATTCCCCTTAGTTCTATCATACGTGTCAACTTGGAAATCATCTTTTTATTTATTTATTTATCTTAAACTAATGATACTCTCCATTTCATGTTATTCATTATGATGTTTGTACCTCTCCCTTGCAAACTAATAGTGTCATAAAATTTTATGTTATATTCCTTGACCAATTTTCTGATTTTGTTAGGATGTATCCATTATGACAAAAATTTGAGGTGTTTTTAAAATTCTTACATTTTCGCGCCATGTAAAAACTCAATTCCACACCAAAATCCAAATTTAGCAATGTGGTAATCGAAAATAATTTGACAACCAACAATTTCATCAAGCATGTGACACCCACGAAATTCACAAGCATTTTTTCATGCCCATACACATCTTAACAAAACTAAAAATTTGAACCCGTGCTTTGAACAATTAATCATGTTGTTCACAATCTTTTGTTCCAAGCCCACCTTCCACTTACATATTGGGTGAAATCCCTTCATATGGCCACTCAATTGTTGAATATAATTCCCTTTCATAGTCTTCTTCATGATACACCCTTTCACAAACTATTTAACAAACACCTATCCTACTCTTATCTCCGCGTATTCGGTTATCATTGTTATTTGCATCTTAATAATACTCACAAATTTCAACCTCCTTCCACCCTTTACATATTCTTTGGTTACACATCCAATCATAAAGGATATCATTGCCGTAATCTTCATAGGAAACCAGTAATTATGTCTAAACATGTCAATTTGACGATTCCATTTTTTTTCGTATAGTTTCATGACTCCAAACCTTGCACGCAATTATGATTTACTTCATATTGATAATAACCAAAACATGTTCAATTAAATGAATTATCCATCATACCCTATTGGGTCCATATCCACCTTTACACCTCCAACCTTCCATCTGCCAATATCAACTCCGACGATACCGTCCATACTGACAACTCCATCCTTACCTCTCGGTAAATTTTTCTAACACAAAAAACTCTATCAACATCCATACTTCGCCTCACAATACTTAGACAACCCACCTACATTTGAAGACCGATCATTTAGCCCACCTACCTCTCCGACTCGTGAGTATTATAGGCGTACATTTGGTACACATCGCGTACTCCTTGCATGCGCATCATCGGGGGACTCCTGACGTACGTTGGGCGTACTAATACATATGATAGGCATAATCAAGCCAGGGGTAAACACTAATTTTTACGGTTTGCACCCTATTTAAAGTCCTTAAGTCCCTTAATTTCATTACCCTTTTAGCCTCTATTTCCCCTTTAGTATCAATCTTGAACCCTATCCTTCTTGAGTGCATATTTGAGCTTTCCTTCAGTGTTTTCGTGTTCATTGGTGCTTTTGAAGAAGAAGGAAGTTTGGGAAGAAGCAAATGAGAAGAAGGAGCTTGTAGATGTAGAGTTTTTGCACCATTTTTATCCCATTGAAGATATAAAGTATGAACCTTGATCATTACAAGTTTAGATCTAGGTTTACAGTAGAATATGACATATTTTGGTCTCATAGCTTGGTTTTTTGGAGTATGAGATACTCCAAGCCATTTGAGCTGTCCTTTTGGACTCTTGGAACTGTTTTGAGTCATTAAAATCGTATCTTGGAGATTAAGACTTGGACTCTTGGAACTGTTTGTGACCTCGTAAGTGAGTTAGAGTGCTTAATTCATGGCTTGAGCCCTAACCATGCATGCAAAAGCATAAATTTTGCAACTTTATGGCTTAAGATGTTACTATGAACTTGGATTTGAGTTTTCGATGTTTGTATTTAAGGGATTAAGTCATGGAAGCATTTTTGGGTTGATTGACCTGTACACCATGTGTACTCCAGTGTAGGTTGCACGTACTAGGCCGTTGTCCTGACTCCGGATCAACTCTAGCATACGCTGGGAATACAAGCCAAGTACGCCGTACATATGAAGCCGGTAAGCTTAGGTGATGTTCGGCTTGATTTTGTTGGGCTCTTTGCCTTGTCTAGTTTTGGGCCTCGAATCTTTATGTGGTAACAAGGAATTTTTGGGCTTTAGATCATTTTATGAGTTCTTGGGCCATATTGGGCCTTAGGGTCTTTTAGATTGGGCTTGGAATGATTTTTTGGACTAATGTGTATTTCGGTTTTAGTGAGGCCCATTAAGGAAAAGGTTAAGCAACTGTTGTCTTTTAGTCACGGTTAGGATTTTAACCTTTAAGATAGAGTGTGGCCTGATTTCTAATTAGGGTTTTATGCGTGTGTATTAGGAGGAGGTTTCCACGAGTCATCCGCCGAGTACGATTTGATATCTTCAG